CATAGATCCATTCTTTCAAGTTAATATATCATCACCATAATCATGTTCACAATTAATCCTTACTCAAGTATCCAATTTAAAATCTAGAGTTTGCCAAAAAAATTGGTATTCTTACCTTAATGAAATTGGAGATTAAAGAATAAAAAAACTTGAGTTCCAATTTGTACTCTTAGCCTCTTAAATCTGAAATTTATACCACAAGTTAAAACCGTAAAAATTTAACATAAAATTATTCCTTTACCTCTTGAAGAAAATATAGAGAAAGGAGAATGGAAACAAGCTTGAACTACCTATTTTCCTTCCTTTTTCTCCTCCTCTTTTTCCCTTTTCTTCCTTTCTCTTTTCTTTTCTTTCTTCTTTTCCTCCTCTGCCGTTTCCAGCCTCTTTGCCCGGTTTGGTATGAGAAATATATATAAAGTAATGGCAATTGGGTTTAAATGGTCAAAATTGTGGGGTTTTGCAAGGTAAGTCCCTCATCTTCCATATAATATAACATTTAGCCATTCTAAATATCATATAATAAAGTATTAAATCCTTAACTTCCAAATTTTGAAAAATAAATCCAAACTTAAAATTTTTATCCATCTTAAACCCTTAAAATATTTTTTTATCATAAAATAACCCCAATAAAATACATTCTTACATTTTAGTCTCTATTTGACTTTGACATTGACAATTCGACCATTGATTTTTGACCTAAAAGAATTCGGTTGTAACAGAGGGCAATTGACCCCACTGGTCCCTAGCACGAGCTCGACCTTTTTATGACTTGTGATCGTCCCCAACATGAGAGCTAGCCGTTTTTAAAATTGTTCTACATTAATGGTGGATTTATAGATATAAACATTTCTTGAAGTGGAAACAAAAGCAAATAGGAAACAAACTCAAACTCAAAGTAAACTCACCTACAGCCAAGGATTCAACATCCTTTGCACTCAAACTAAACATTGAAAACTCAATCGAAGAAATCAGTCTCCTGGCTCCTTTTGGATTTTCTCGGTGCAGACAAGCCATGGCTGTTCTTATCTTCTGGGCATGTGCATTTGTTGGTGCAGATAACATGAAACGGGTTTGACCTGAACACGATGAAGAGGGGATAGAACGGTGGAGGGGGGATTGAAAATAGCAAGAAACAAAACCCATAGCTATTGCGCCGTTTGCTCTTAGAACTTAGAAGAGGAAGTATTTAATGCTATACAAGAGAGAATAACAAGTATATATACAGACTAGCTACTACAACTAACTAGAATATGACAAATAAGAATATTATAGCCGCAAGCAGCAGCACGATCAGTAGCAATTAGGGGTGGGCACGGGTCGGTTCGGTTCTAAAGAGAACCGAACCGAACCAAACTTTTCGGGTATTTAGTAAATGGAACTGTCGGGTCCAAATATAATTGTGGAACCGTTCGGGTTCGGTTCTATTCGGTTCGGTTCAGTTCGGTTCGGTTCGGTTCGGTTCCGTTCTGTACTATAATTAAATTTTTTAACATTTATAACAACATTATACGAATACAACTATGTTTAATGGTTTTTGAATGTTAGAGACTAGTAAACTAACTTGTTCAAATGATCGCTACGATCAAAGTTTCGATCGGCGGAGGTTACAGCTTCGATCGGAGGTCACAGTGTCGACCGACGATTGTATAGGTTTTGGAATATTAGCGAGGCTGCGAGAGTGAGTGCGAGAGTCGAGACAACGATGTGTACTTTAGTGTAGGGGTTTAGAATTATTTAGTGAATTTGATCTTGTCTGGCTAAGAAATAAAATAATAAAATGGGTAATTGGGCCAAAAATTAAAAAATTAGAAATGAAACTAATTATTAGGCCAAAAATTTGGATTTAGAAATCGTTAATTTGTTAATTTGTTTAGAAAAAAATAAAATTATAATAATTTGATTTACTAAATATAAAAAAAATTAGAAAAATTCGGTTCTTCGATTCTTGATCTAGAACCGAGAACCGAACCGTACCCGTCGATTTTCAATTCAGATACCCGTTTGGGTATTTAATTTGACAAGAACCATCCCTAGTAGCAATAGGGAGTATCATGCTGCAATATTTGCATGGACTTTGAGTAATGATAGCAAGTACAGGCTTTAATGGCTTGGAGCGGAAAGGACTAGAGTACCCTTCTGACTTGATAATTACCAATAAATAAACTATTTGCTAAACCACGTAATGTCGCGTGGTTTTCCCTTCTCAACAATTAAATATAATTTTTAAATTGAAAAAAAATAATAAAAAATTATCTGAGTTTATTTGTGACGTTCAACATCATTACCGCAAATCTTATAATCCATTAATTAACAACTTTAAATAAGTTTAGGGAAAATGAAATGCTTATAATTAATATATGCGATTGCAAAAAAATACATGGACGGAGGGCAAAAATAATTGTGGCACTTTAATAGTTTTGTTACAAAATGAAAGGTGTTTTTTGGGCTTTTGAAAAGTAATTATATCCATACAATCATGTTATAGTGCTAGAATACTTGATATAATGGTTGATATAATGCAACACATCACTCTATTATTGGACTATTTTAAACATAATCAATTTTTCCATCAAGTCATCTCCCGCCACCTATTATCTTGGCCCTTTTCTTCTGGCAAAGTGGTTTAACCCCGTATCCACATCCTACGTTTGCTAGGTTGCCATGTCATAAATTTGTCTCATGACAAATGTCACGAAACATAACTTATTTTTAATCACAAATTTTATGTGATCCAAAATGTTTATCAGCACTTCAATTTTTACACAAAATTCAATTTTTTTGCTGATTTGGTTTGTGAAACGGAATTAATGACTTTAAAACCCATTAACTATTTCTCATTAACTTCTATATATTGATTTATTGATAAAGAAACTTAACTCTCGTGTTCTTTCTTCATTCTAATGTTGTGAAATTGCATCAGAAGACATTGAAGACATGATGCATTTTTATTTTTTTTATTTTTTATGACCATGGGTGTCCGGGCCAACTTTCACGCACCTCGACTAATCCTACGGGCCCTGAAGTTTACAACCGCATACTCACCTCAGTGATCTTGAGGGGACTCGAAATGGTCACCATTGAGGAACAAACCCAAGGCCTGATTACTAAACTACCCCTCAGAGTTATTTTTAGTAAACTAATTTAACCAACATTTTAATAATTGGTTTGGTACTTCAATTCTATACATGGAAGGTTATATATTAGACTTTCTATGATCAACAAACTTTTAACGATAACGGTCACAGAGTCGTGGTAGGCTTCATATGGTTGAAAGTTAACTAATTCTCAAGTTCTTTCTAAAAATCGTAACTACAACATGTTTACTTGTGTATGATATAATTATATTAGGGCATGTTTGATAGGCCATATTTTCCTTGGAAGTTGGAAATTATACCACCATTTTCCATGTTTTAGCATGTTTGATATGAATTATTTTCTCGGCAATTGATTTTCTCTCTTCCCTCCCACGTGACCAAGTTTTCTTGGCAAATGGCAATTGAGGAAAACCTTTATCCATTGGTTTGGTGGGAAATCAGTTTTCGGCCCCGAAGGGGGGAGGGGGCAATGGAAACACCCTAATTATAACAAATTCTATCCCTTTAATTGACAATTTTCATGAAAAACAAAATCAAATGAACATCAAAAGATAGAAAATTTCAATATTTTTCAAGAAAAAAAGTATACCAGTCAAACAAGATTAATTGACAATTTCCAGTACAACAAGTTCTGGGCAATTCAGTTCTTTGAAATTCGTTTTCTTTCCACCCAAATTTCATTCTTACAATCAAACGGACTCTAAGTAGAACTTGAAAAACACATGGCGCTTCTTTATTAGTAACTAATAATATAAAAAAGATTTTAACTACTTTATTTGGTACTTCGATTCCTTTATCAAATATTAAATATGTGTGCGTTCAGACTTCAGAGCTTGTGATATTGTGTATAATCTAGGATAACGTCTTTCTTTTACAACTATGGTGACCTAAAAGAAAGGCTGGGGGATGGATCCCTAGAGCCACTCCGACGAAAAATTCACTAAATTAGCAGTAATAATAAAAATGATAAAAGATATATAATAATGCAAAAATGTAGAACTAAAGAAAAACACCTTCATCTATTCTCTTTGATTTCTCATAATTCAAAAAAATAAAAAATTCAAAAATTCAAAAATCGAAAGACTTCCAAATTCCAATGTTTCAATAATTTTAATTATAAAATAGCAAACCAAAAAATCACATAAATATAGCGTTTAAATAGAAAAGTAAGGAAGGAAAAAGAACAATATCTAACAATCTAAATGTGAACATATCATAGGAAATAATAATAATATCTAGCATCACTTATACTAGAGCACCATTTTAGATTATTATAATTTAGGATCGAGCTACATGACCCGCACGAATGACCGCAGGGATGACCCCACACATACATACATGGAGGTCAGCATTTTTTTATTCACCTGAGACCCATGCACCCATGTGAGGGTGGGATCATCGGTGTGGTCATTCGTGAGATTCGTTTGGCTTTATCCTATAATTTATAGGTTCAATTAAATGAATCATATGACTTTATTGTTTAATTTCATGTAATTATCACTAGACTGGTGCTTAACATCAATCATGTATAGCATTTTACTCCTTATTAAATGAGTCGTTATATTTAATAAAACATATGATTTAATGACATAAATGATGCTACCTATACTAACGTTAAACACTAGTGATGCTAAATAGTATTCCTCAATAGCTTAATAAACTAGTCTATAGCTCCACGTATATTAACTAAGAAGAACGAGAATGTAGGGTTTGGTAATAAAATATATTAAGAAAAATCCATGCCTAAGACCATCCTCAATTTCAACAGAATTCAATGTCCAATCATCTACTGTCACGTCCATGTCGGTAAGACTTTTGTTAAGAATTCCCCGTACTCATGGCTTTTTCCTAAATTTAATAGCACAGTGCCTTAAAAAGGATATACACAATCCAAATAAATCAGGCTAAAAAACATTTTACGATCACTATAGACCATCAAAAAGAGTTGCAAGTCGGGATTGCTTTCTCATAGAAAAGAACCCAAATAATATAGACATAAAACATTGAATCCCCAATTTACTAAGCAACACCTGGTGCACTCTCAGACTTCGCTTTCCATGGGCTCTGTTGTAGTTGATGGTACTTCATTTCCGGATCTAGTAGTCTCAATTGCACCAGTTTCGGTTGGGACTTGAATTCGGGTTCTCTGCACCTTGAGATTGTGACCTCCTCGAGAGGGAGCTGGCGAGGGTGTTTTTGGAGTAGTAGGCTTTACTGGCATCGATTTTGTCATTATCGGCCTGCAAGACCTGTGAAAGCAAATAAAGTTCAAGTGGTCAGGACAATATTTATACTTGAAAAGAAACTGAAATCATCAATACAGCTCCACTTAGAGGGAAAACTTCCTTACTAGGGCTCCAATCTTTTGCCTGACTAGCATGTCGGTTCGCTACATTTCATTATAGTTGCACAATTAGTTCTTATTGAACTTCTAAACCTCCGCTAAATCATTACTACTGCCTGACTAGCATGTGATGATTTAACAGAGATGTAGACTTTTTTTTTTATAGTCGATGGCTCGTTGTACAAATGTAATGAAAGTTTGAAACGAACTTGCTACGTGGACAATAGGTTGGGGACCTGTTGATTAGGAGGATCACTTTGACTATAGCCCTTGGTAGATTTACCAAAGACAAAAATAATCCAATCCTAAAGATCCATAGGATTAATTGTGGAGGTATACCAAGGTTCAGTCTTTGGTTCATATTTCATCAATCATCTAGGGTTCCTCGAACAATGTGATATCTTACAGCGGGTAAAGGATCTTAGAGTGTCTAAGGTTGGCCAGGAGGGTCTCAAACTTTCCCTCATTCAAAAGGGAAGCCTTAATCTTTAGCATCTCAATTATTGTGATCCTAAATAAGAGTAAAATATATCAGGCAACCTCAACTCTTGTAGACAAAATATGCAAACAGCAAACGGTTGTGGTTTGTGAAAATTTGCAGATACCTTCTGGAGCTCCTTTAGCTTCGCTATATAGACTCCTTTTGTTTCATCCTCACCATCCTCGTATAATCAATCCTCAACCTCCTAGAGTTTAGCAATGAACTGCTCTTTCTCTAAATCCGTCACAAACTCTTTATATTTGTCATTAAGCTGCATATGAAGTAGAACTGTCAGTACTTAACTACTGAAGAATCATAAAATCATCTAATGGTCCTAGAATTTAGCTTATTCCTCATATCATAAACATAAGTGTAGCGACCGGAAAAAAATGTGTTTTTTTCGTTTCAAATAAAATTTTCTTATAGGACTCAAATATAATTTGGGTTATATTATTATGTCGCTACGACACTTCCTAATAGTTCAAATTAAATTTTGGTCACGAAAGTAAAATTCCACGTACTTGATTTTCTTAAATTTTACAAGGTGTTAAAATCGCTTTTAGCCGACAAAATTTTATGTTAATTTGGTTACATTATTTTTCTTACGACACTTTATTTTAATACTACTATTTTTGTTTCCATTATTTAAACTTATTTTTTTTTTAAATTGGACAAATTACTTGCATGTTTCATCATCCATCATTTATTCTCCAACTTATCATTCTAATAAACTTCCATTTTTGTCAATGCCAAAACCGTCCCCGATCATTCATTTGAAAATAAAATTACAACTCCAATTTTTATCCATTACCCCCACTTTATTATCCATTATAACCTCCAATTTTAACCAACCCTATCTTAGCATATTAATCTCCATTTTGTTAACTGCCAACAATTATCATTTTAACTCCCCACTAACCATGTTATTTTATTTTATTTCCCCATATCAGTTAACTGCCGGCCACATCATTTGAGGGAAAAAAAAAAACTTCTGACTTTATATTTGAAAAGTAACTTGCACGTCCATCATTCAAAATCCACCAACTACCTTCATTTAGCATTTTAACTCTTATCTAAATAATTTCAATTTCAACCTACCCACTAAGTGCATTTTAACATCCACTTTTGCACTACCATGAAACCGTCTCTTTTATTTTAAGTCGTAAGTTCATTTTTTCAAAGCTGAAATCTCAACTTCTTTAGCGACTCTCCTCTCTCCCTATTATACTTATGCATCAAATTATTTTGCCCCTTCTTCCATAGACAAAAAGAACTTTGAATCTGAAAATTTCTAAAGAAAAGGGCAAGACGTACGCTGCATTTTATTCTTTGGACACGAAAGGATATTTCAAATTCCAAGCATTAAGGTAGGGGTGTTTCGGCACTTAAGTAAGTGATGTAAGATTTATATATTTTCGTTTGCATTAAATGTGTTATTGTGTTGCTCATGATGGAATCACCGTTTGGTGGTTTAAACAAGAGATGAAGAGATGATTATGACAAATGAAATGGGGTTATCAAAACCTAAGAGTAAGCGGACTAACTGATCACCAATTCGCTTGAAATTGACGGTGACACAATTGACCAAAGTTTGCATTTCTGAAAATATATATTTTTACCGTTTACTTAAGTGTTTCCTACTGAGTATTATTTATAGTACTCATCCCTACAAATAATTTTACAGGTTAAGATCGAGGCATGGCAATGGTTGGCATAGTGGCAAGTGTTCGGCAATCTCTAATTCTTTCAATTTCTAGTGAATATTTCTATTTATGTAAATATTTCATGGAACTTAGATGAACTTTTAGAAATGCTTTTTAATGTTTATTTTGTTCATTTTTAGACAGTGCATGTTAACAAGAATTTAAAAGTGTTGGATTGATTTGTATGAAGTTTTATTTTATGCTGGGTGGAAATTTCAGTTTCTGTCCTTCTAGTTGAAAATAGTATAACTTGGGCTACGGTGCATGTTTTTAAGTGAAATCAGTGGGGTTTGAAAGGTCTATGAGTCTTCTACTAGTGGCCTTTGGAATTTCTCGAAAATATTATCTAAAAATAAAGTTATGCCCGTTTTAGTAAACTGCATCGTGTCGAATCCGAGATTCCTGTCCAGCATATTCGAGTAATATTTTCGTACTTCAAACGTTATCGTCGAAACCCCAAATTTTTATATGTGTATATATATGAATGATTTAGTCCCTGTAAAAATTTCATAAATTTTAATAGACATTTGCTAGGCCAAAGATATTTTTCTTTCGCTGTCGTTTAATCCGTAACTGTCGATTTGTCTTCAAATCTTTTACAAAATCAAATTTTGCTACATTTGCCTAAATTATATAGATAACTACCTTCCATTATATTTTTATATATTTAAAAAAAAATTGGATTTATAAAATACTTTGACTAGCGTCAAAGGGGTCGAACCAAAAAAAGAAACGAATATTATTTTAACGCTTCGGTTTCCGAGAATTCGGGGCGTTACATAAGCCTCAACAGCATTCTTCCTATCTTTTGTTTCTTCCATAACTCGATCTTGTAAAGCCATCACAAATTCCTTCTCCATGGATTTTTTCATATCGACAATAGCCATTCCTCCATACACCAATTTTGACATAGGGACACTTGTTTTCTTAACCTTTTTCTTCGAAGGCTTTGCCTATAGACACAAACAATGCAAATTCGTAGGTGAGAACAAAACTTGCCAGGAAAATAAAGATTCCAATCACAAATATGTTCTTTTTTGATAGAGAGACAAACAAAAATAATTAAATCTCACACAACAGCAGAGCCCATTGAAGTCCTTCTATCTTCCCCTCTCACATGAGGAATACAAAAAAGGAGACATAATTTCCCAAAAATTATGAAATATACGGAAGCATCCTTTCTAAGAAAGGAAAACCAAAAACACATGTCACATGAAATATCTGTATTCTATTCTGCATCAACCTCAAAAATATTAACCCAAAAGCAGAGGGGGCCAAATTTGACGGACCTACTGCTTTATTTTATCCTCTCATATGTTCCCAAAAATAGGCGAAAAAGGAGAAAGGATTGAGCATGTGTGATAGAAGATTGAAAGAAGTGGCAATTGAACCAATAACTCAACAACATGCAATAGGGTAAAAGATATGTAAGGAAGAAAAAAAAAAAATAAAAAAAAAAAAACAATAACAATAACAACAACAACAACAACAACAACAACACCACCACCACCACCACCACCAACAGCACCACCAACAACAAGAACTAATAATAATAATAATAATAATAATAATAATAATAATAATAATAAACAATTTCCTTGATTTACATAAATAATTGCTAACTAACCTTTGCATTTGTTTCCATCTGGCTGGGCTTATCCTCTGAGTCATTTGACACCATTTTCAGCCTCAGAGACATCCACAGAGCCTTAGCATCTTGCATGCTGATCTTAGTTTCAGTAGTACTTGATGGAGCAGGATCTACAGAAGTCTCATGTGTTTCCATCTTGGTAGATTCCTTTGTTGACTCTTTTACAACCAGAACTTCCACCTCCTCTTCCAAAAGCTGATTTAAATTTTGAATAGGATCGTTTAGCAGAATGAATACCAAAAAGTGTTCTACAAAGAGGACTTACAGTTGCTGATTCAAGCAAAATATTACCATCCAGATTTAGGCATACTTTGACCTTTAATTTTGCTTGTTCACCCTTTGTGGATTCTAATGGTCCAATCTGTGCATCGGATTAGAAAAAAAAAAGATTTTCCAACGAGCGACAATACTTTCAGTGACATGAGTGACCGAAGCACACAAATAGATTATTGTGTAAGTGCTGATCTTTGCTGGTGCCTTCAACTCACTAACACCAGCATATTGCACATCAACCACAAAAGTGCTAGATCTGTAGAATGTTAGAGCTTTAACACTAGGTATTGGATTACCCTTGGGAAACACGATGGTACAATGTTGTCTCTTGATTTTCCAGAGCTCCATTCCGAGTATCTGCACCATGACAAAGCAATGGGGAATGGGAAGATCTTGTTGACCTTCAAATCAGTAGGTCGAGCAAATCTTAGAATGGATGTCGTGGAGTATTTTATTTCCAATAAAAGGTACATTCGTAATAGAATAGGAGGCAAATGTTCATAGACATAATTGCCCGTCCTCTATCCAACTAAGCATGCAAGAAAACAAATACTCTATAGAAGAAGGAAAACTAAGAAAAGCCATGGCAAATGCAATCGATAAATCAGGAAAAAAGAAAGAAGAAATCCATGGTCAGCCTTTCTGCCTCAAATGTAGGAAAATGGAAAAACAACAAGTATACTCCTACTCAATTTTTTTTTTTAACCTCCTTGCCCAATGATATTTCAAGATACCAATGATTAATCGCAGTGCAGTAAAATTGCTAACTCTAAGTCATTAACCTAGCATTATCCTTCCTCAATAAACCAATCACTGTCATGGACTACTGTTCACATATTACAGAACTAAAAAAATTTTATTTCCAGAGGAAATCATGGTATGCTAAATTTAACTCCCCCCTCTTTTGATAGGGGTATGCTAAATTTTACTATGACTAAGAACAATAGAGATGTGAGATTTCCTATGTTTTTACCAAAAGAATCAGCTTGTAAGATTTGTTCAATGTACAAATAAAATAGAACAAAAAAAAATAAAAATAAAAGGTATATAGCATTTGGCTCAACAGAATAAGAAGCTAAAGATCAAAACTGACTTATACTGCAGTCAGGCCCCATATAAAATTTGTGTTTCTACATCCAAATTCAAAGGGCATGGCATCAAGTGAACCTATAGGAAGAACTATCAATTAACAATAAGAACCAGTAGCTGGGATTCTTGTACTTTAAATGTGGGACTAAGAATGGCACATTCTAAAGCAAAGCATTTGGCAACACACTCGTCACGTTCACTGTACGCCTGGGCCCCTGGGCTCCTTTCCAAAGAACTCGGTCAAGATCTTGAAGATAGCAGGAATTCGAGAGCCTGAACCAACAACCTCAACTGCATGAATAATTCAAGAATACCATTATGCAGCACGCACGCACACATAGAGAATGGGATCAAGTTCAACAAAATTGAACGTCATTGAGCAACGTCGTTAAGTTCAAGCAGAAGCACAACCTCAATGACAAGTAAATCAACTTAAAATGCCATCTTTTAGGATGTAAAATCAAATAATACCGTTCTATTAACTTACGGTAAACCCAAAGGTAAATGATTCAACATGATTTATGTGTTAAAATCATTAGATCTGACAATCATCAAACATTTTAGGGTTTGAGATTTACGAGATAACTCGGGGGAAGAGAATGGCTGAGAACATGTGCGTCGGCTGCGTAGAAATGATTTTCTTGAATTTTCCTCCAAAAACCTTCTGTGGTGAGGGAGAAGAATAAAGGTAGAAGGGGGAAAAGAAGGTTTCTTAGAGCCGGTCTGGTAGAGATTATTACTCCACAAGAATTGATTTTTCAGTCACATCACAATGGCCCACTGTCAGGCAACAACGTGCATGGCCTTGTAAAAATTTGCCAAAGTGACCATTTTGTACTGAAGTTCATTATTTAAATTTATTAGGCAATTTTTTAAATGACGTCAAAATTTTTATTAGATTATTTTAAAATATTAATTGATACAGTAAGAAAGGGAGGCATGAATGAGGACGACGAAGAAGAAAAAAAGGAGTTATATATATTTTTTCATTGGTTCGAAAAACTTGTATTTACGACGTTAAAAATATGAAAATTATGTGTATCGATGAAAAACAAAATTGATATGAAAGGGAG